ACACCTGTATCCAAAGACAAAGAACCCTCTGGGTAGTTTCAATTCCTGTTTCCATCTGGTCAGAGCCTCTGACCTCTCTGAACCCCAGGAATTTTCTAACCTCCAGGCTTGGTACAAATTTCTCCTGCTCAGCCTTCCCGTGTAGCCAACCCAGTCCTAGAATTACCGTCGCCAGGCCCATCCGTGGTCCTGCTTTGGCCCCATGCACAATCTCATTTGTTCCTGGCGCATGCACAGGTGCCTACCAGCTGCGCCCCATCTCTCCCACAGCCTGGGAGAAGACACCAACGGGAACGTCTAGGTCCTTCTGGGGGACAGCCGGAGGCAGCCGTCAGCCATTTCCCCCGTGCCCAATCCTGCAGGCAGCAGCCTGTCCTGAGTTCCCTGGGCCGCGACCCCTGAGGAGTCTGGCTTCATCCTGCCCCCCAGGTGGAGGGGCTGGGTGGCGGGGGCTGTGAGCCCTGGGCCGGGGCCCGCAGGGGTAGAGGTCACCGTCCTCCTCCCAACAGTGACATCTCCATCTTGAGGCTCTCAAACCCACATCCTTTCTTTTCTGCACGAACAGTCAGGCAGCAGCACCTCTGAGCCCTGCCTGCCTCCAGCTGGTGGTTAACAGTCAGAAAATAATGTGCCCCGAGGTCCTAGCCGCTCCACCAGCTGGCTCCATCTTTTCCTGTTTGGCCTTGGCTGCTTGCAGCTCCCTGACCCTGCTGCAACCTGCCACTGGCGCCCTCCCTCTCTCACCCAGCCATGCTGGGAGCCTTTGGCGGGCCCTTCTCCCTGCAACTCAACCTCGGCAGCAGCTGGAGTCTCCGCTCCTCTTCCCTGGCCACGCTGCTCTGAGAAGGGGCGGGGGCCCCCACCTGCCTGCACGCCACGCCTGCTCAGTTTTCAGTGGAGACTGTCGTGCAGAATAGTGGAGGAGGCAGGGGACGAACGCTCCAGAGTCAGCCCAATGAGGAGTTCCAAAAGTCCAACCATATAAAGTTCTTAAAACTTCCTGCAGGGAGGGCGCCAGCTGGGGCCGAGCTGCCTGGGCTCATAGCCCCCGTGAGTCTGCCCCAGAAACTGTATCTGGGGCCCAGCTTGCCCCGATGCAGCGTCAGTCCATCTGAAGGTGCAATTGCTAATTAATCACCTGAATGGCACCATGAGAAATGTTTCCACACAGCTTCTGCAGAGCTCCTCATTAAAGAAAGTACTGGTTTGGTTCAGAGAGTGCTGTGCTGTTCTAGGTTCCTTTTGGATCTGTAGCTTTAGAAAATATCCGACTCTGCTTCTAGTCCAAACTGTACCATTAAAAAATTAAAGGAAAAAAAAAAGGTAGATGGTACAGAGGGAAGATGAATGTTTGGGTCCCCTTCTGTGTTTACCAAACTGTTTCCTTCGATGTTTGGGGTCCACTGTGGCAGAGTTTGGAGTGGCCTAGTTCTTATGGAGGGCTCTGGGGCCAAGGCTACAAGAACTTCCTTTAGAAGTGTCATTCCTGGTTTCTCTCAGACCAAACCTCAGTGGTTGCTTCTGGAAGGACGGGCGGGGGCGGGGGGTGGGGGACAGCCCTGTGTGCAGGGGCCAGCCAGTCACAAAAATTGAAGTGAGGCTAGAGGTCGGGGAGGAGTTAGGGCAGGGTGGGTCCAGTTCACACCAAGTTTCCCCGGGGACTGTGAGGACGGAACAAGATACAGGTCAGAGCAAGGGGGCAAACGAGGATCAAAGGCCCCGTAGTACTGGGGAGTAGGACACACGGGAGACCCAGGAGTCCGAGGGAGGTTCAAGAACGAGGATGTCCGCAGTGAGGTCATGGTCAGGAACTTCTGGCACAGGGGGGCTTTGGGGAGGCCTCGCCTGAGCTGAAACTTGATGGCCAATGACGTGTGACACAGACACGGTCGGGACAGCGAGTCCCAGGCACTGGCACAGAGAATGGCACTGAGGCCCACGGCCTCGCTGGTACGCGGGACACTGTGCACGCACACGGGGAGTGCTGGGGAGTGCCGCACAGCCGGGGAGGCCGCTGGGCTCTGAGCTTAGAGCCGTGGCCATGATCGCAGCACAGGCATGGGGGGGGTGGGGGGCGAGCAGGCAGAAGCCACTGCTGAGGACGGAGGGGAGCCTGCCCAGTGGCACTGGGGGCTTTGGGCCACGTAGCTAACTGTATCCACCCCAGGTGTTCACGGTGAGCCCCTCCCTCCCATCGCTGTTTAGTGGGGACGATACACACAGCGGGTTGGCGTGCAGGCTCTGCAGCTGGACTCTCTGGGTTCGGCTTCTGGGCTCAGCCATGCTCTTGCCGTGTGACCTGAGACCAGCTACTTTGCCTCCCCGTGCACGCGTCTCGGGGTTCCCGGGAGGCTAACGCGGTGCTCACCCGGCCACGCGACAAGTGATGCCACGCTCATCTCCCAGGGTGAGAAGTGCTCACGGGTGGGGAGCCCCTGCTGTCACGGAGCAGCCCGTGTGTGCGCTTTGGGCCACTCTGCGGAGTGAGGCACTGATCCTGCCAAGGAAGGGTTCCGCTCCCTCCCTCGCTCTCTGGTGGGAGGGATACCTTTCCACCGCCCCCGCTCCTCCGCTCTTGAGAAGCGTGGCAGGCTCACCCTGAGTTGGGTTATTGCCGTAGGCCGGGAATTCTGGTGGCCCCGTCGAGAGAACGGTGGGCCCTGCCCAGGCTTGGTTAGCCGGGGAAAGCCGGATAGCCTGGGGCCCAGTAAATCCTGACTTATATTGACATGGGACCTCTCCAAATTACACCCAGGGTGTCTGAGATCTGTCACCTCCCGAACTGTCTTCATGCTTCCTGGAGCCACGGTGGCCCAGCCCTCCCCGGCTCCCACAGGGGAAGCCAGGGGATACCCAGCTGTGACATCTCAGGACACCTGGGCTAATAGCATGCCCACGACAGCCCCGGCGCCCAAGGGCCTGGGAACCGAAGCCCTGGAGGCTTCCCCGGTCCTTCCTAGAGTCAGGGAGAGCCACTTCCTACTACATAGTCCCCTCCGAGGCAGGCACAAAATAAGCCTCTCACGTGCTTCTGTCTGTGTTCAGTCCCAGGCTTCTCAGGAACCAGACAGCCTGCCTCAGATCTTCCTTTTCATGTCTCCTGGAGGGCAGAGGGGCACATATGCAAATCAGGTCCCAGTAGCAGCCTTAGAATCTGAAGTTAAATGTGTAAATCGGTTTCTCAATCTTGGCACCCATGACATTGCAGCCCAGATCATTCTTTGCCACGGGGCCTGTCCCGTGTGCTGTGGGATGTTCGGGAGCATCCTTGGCCTCTCCCCTCTAGATGCCAGGAGGCCTCCTTCCCCAGGTGTGACAATAAAAAAGTGTCTCCAGACAATGCCAAGTGTCCCCTGGGTACAAAATCGTGCCAGGTTGAGAACCACTGATATCAATTAAACTGCAGTAACAATTCCAGGCCACCCACGGATCAGAAGATGGCCGAGCTCCTGCCCCCAGTGTGGGGCCAGCATGCCCTGGCCAGTCCCCTTCACCTCGCAGCATGCTTGGTAAGAAGGGCCCCTACAGATGATAAGGGCAGGCCTGCCACCATCGTTCAGAGCCTGGAACGCTTCCCTCACGCCTGATTGTGGGCAGTTCTGAGCCTGGGAGACTGTGGGCTCAATAAAATCGCTGTGGGCAAGGTGCACAGTTGACATAACTCGAAAGGAAGCCTTGCCCCTGGATGGAATGTTCTTCGTGAAAAGGAATATCCTCTCCTCTCTCTGTGTTTCTTAAGTCCTGCCCATGCCAGGGTCTGCGCTGGGCTCTGGGAGATAGTCGGGCAAGGCCCCTGGGCCCATGGACTTGCATCGCCCCTGACCTGGCCCCACATCCCCCGCCCTGCAAGCTGTCTTCTCAGTCTCACCCCTCCTGCCTGCATCCCTTCCCCTACTTGAGGAGCCCTGGAGTTCCAGGGCTCCGTCAGAGGCTAAACGTCCCCTGCAATCCAGGGATCCCAGTGACCATGGCCAGGATGACGGGTGGTGCCTGGGGAAGGAGGTGTCGCCAACCATTGTGCATGGGTAGTGGCTGGGCTTCCCCAGAGGGGGCCATTTCAGGCAGCAACGCTCCCCTGCTCCTCCTTCTCTCCCCCTCCCTCGTCCCCTCTCCCCTGCCTGGAGCCCGCTTCCTCTCCTCCTCCCCGCCCCCTCCTAGCCACATGGCCTGACACGCATGTTTGACCTGTCGGCCCCTGCAAGGACACACCAGGATGGAACAGCGTCCCGAAGCCTCCTGCCTCTGAAGCCTGGCGGGGGCAGGAGGAGTCACAGCTGAGAGCACAGCCAGGAAAGCAGTGCGCAGGCTGGGAAGCGTGCAGAGCAGCCTGGACAAGGCCAGGCAGTGGTGGAGACAGGAAGTTAGAACCCACTGCAGGGCCATGAGGGGCTGGAAGACACACCGATGCCTTTCTCCGGGCGGATGCCTTTGCGATTTCCTGAGCCTTGGTGGCTGCCCAGCCACCCCTATGCTCTCAGCCTCTTCTGCTCCCTCCACTACCCTCTGTGCACTCCAGGCTTTGCACATGCTCTCGTCTCTGCCTGGCACATGCCTCCTGCCTTCTTCACCTGGAAGCTCCTCCTTAGAGATGCCACTCGGGTGTCACCTCCTCCAGGAAGCCTTCTCTGACTGCCCTCCCCCACCTAGGACCAACCATCATTTCTAAGCCTTGCCCTGTTGTGACATTCGTGACACAGCATTGTAGTCACTTACTTACCTGTCCCCCCCCCATAACTTTGAGGTGGGTGGATGGACTAATGCACTGACAGTAGACCAATGGGTGAAGGCATGAGTGGGGAGCTCCGTGCCAGCAGCCGGGAAAGGCGAGTCTACCTGGAGCTGCTGGGAAGAGGAGGAAGACAGCATGGATGATGGGGTCCCTGGCAGGTCGCCCCACCTCCCCCACTGCTTGGGGGAGACATTTGTTCTAGAAGTCCTGGAGCACCATCTGCCTACGTGGGCCTGATCCTCGTGTGACCACCTTGACTCCTTTCTCCTAGTATTTCTGCCTGTTGCTGGTGATCTTCCTGGTTGAGCTGGTGGCAGGGGTCCTGGCCCACATGTACTACCGGAGGGTGAGTGCAAGTGTCCTCCTGCTATGTTCCCCATCGGCACCCCGCAGAGGCGACAGCATGTGGTGGGGTGAACAGGAATGGGGGAGCTGGGGCAGTGACCCACAGGGGCGTCCTGTCTCCCAGGTCCCCAACAATCCTCGCACATCCAGGTCCTCCTTCTTGTCCCGCTTCCGGCAATTCTCTGCCCCATCTGTGGATGCTGATGTGTTGAGTGTGGGAGTCAGGGAGTGGGGACGCCCCATGGGAGGTGGGTGGCCCGTCTCCCCTTGGATGCAGAGGTAGAGGATGAAGCCAGCTGGCAAGCATCCAAGGAGCAAGGCTGGGGCCAGGGCTGCCTGCCGAACTCTGAAGACCGCTCCAGGCCTCTCCTGCCTGCATTAGACAAGGACGAAGTGGCCAGTCAGGTGCCCTCCCACCCGGTGCTGGGAATCAGGGGTTCAAGACCATGACCGGGGTGAGACAGCTGACCACACTGGTTATTTTAAGCCAGCACCCGTACAATCGATGGCTGCCCACAGGGTAACAATTGTAAATATTTTGAGTATCACCTCATCATCAAATGAAAAAAAGATTTAAAAGCCGCCCCCCCGCCCCCATGCCCAGCCTCATTGCCCTCCCACCGGCTTTGAGCCGGCCCCTCCGCAGCCCGCCTCTCAGCTCTGCCCGTCAGCTGTCTGGCCTTGCGTCAGGGCCCCAGCTTTTGCAACCTCTCTCCGTGAACCGGGTCCCGAGCTGTCTCCTACGGATGCTCCCATTACACTGAGACCCCTCTGCCCTTACACCGTCCAACATCCACGATGCTCTAGAGTTAGCTCCGAGTGGGCCTGGGGAGCAAGATGGGCGTGAGCGGTTCTGCTGACGCCACCTTCCGCCTCCGCTCTCCAGCTCAGTGACGAACTAAAGCAGCACCTGAGCCGGACTCTGGCTGAGAACTACAGGCAGCCCGGAGCCTCCGACCTCACAACGTCAGTGGACCGTCTCCAGCAGGATGTAAGCAGCTGCGCGCTCCGGTCCGCCTTCTCCCTGCCACCCCACCCTCACTCTTAGCCTGCGATCTCTGTATCTACAGCTCTGTATCTAGGGCTTGAGGCCTTGGTCTTTTTAGCCAGGAATACCAGGCAAGGAGGCAGAGCAGAGATTAGCGGGGCTCGGAGCTCTAGGGGCATCTTAGTTCCGCGGGGGAGGCCCCTTCCCCATCCCCCCAAGACTGGCTTAGCTCCCAGTAGGCTCTGCCCAGGAGGGTCTCTCGTGAGCTGCTTTAGTGGCTAAGGGCACCCGTGCACACAGAGGTACACACCCATCCAACCCACACCCACACGCTTAGCACACACACCTGCTGGTCAGCCCTGTCCAAAGCACAGTCTGCACTTGTGGGACCTCGCATGTGAGGAACGGAGCCTGAACCCTGCCCTCGGGGCCTTAGTCCTGGAGCCCGACACAGCTGCAGGCAGCACTAGGCTGGGAGGCCCCTCCGAGTGGAGAAGAGAGCTGGGGAGGCCAGCCGGGGGGACCAGGAAGGAGGGCCCGGGTTTGCCTCGGCAGAGAGGGTGGGAGGGGCAGTCAGAGAGTGGGGAACAGCATGAGGAAGGGCACAGCCGGGAGCCAGTGTCTGCCACTGCCCAGGGTCTCCGTGGGGACCCAGAGCATGTGGCCCGCAGCCCACACATGCCAGCAACAGTCAGAACCAGAGGGACGAGGGACCTTGGGCCCAGGCTTGCATGCTAGGCCTGAGGAAACAGCCCCGAGAAGGCAGTGGGCTTCAGGCCAGGGCCAGCATCTGGGCTGTGGACCGCACCCCCTAAGGTCAATGACACCCACATGCCTGTATTCAGGAAATGACCATCGCAGTAGACGGTGTCTCTTCCTAACTGCTCAGCCCTGCAGGGCTCTCCTCTCCAGGGTTCCCAGAATCATCTCTCACGGTCTTCACACAACCCAGCGTGGAGGTACTCCATTAGCCCCATTGACAAGTGACAAAACGGAAGCCCAGAGAGGCTAAGTCACCTGTCCAGGGGACATGCAGAAGGATAATCCCGCGTGACTCCTGGCACACACCCTGCTGTTCCCGGCTCCATGTGCTGTTCCATCCTGCCTGCCTCCTCAGGGCTCCTCCTCTTCCTTGTGGGACCTTTCCTGGCCCATGAGCAGAGCTGCTCGCCTCTCCTCCTCTGAGCTACTCAGCTCCAACGTCTCCCTGTGGCTCTCCTAGTAAGCTACTGAGATGCCTCAGAAAGCCGGGAACCGTGGGACTCACGCGTGAGCCCGGGCTAACTTCAGTCCCGGCACATAGTAGGTGCCTAACACACACTTGTTAACTGTACTGAGCATACTCCCGCCCTGCCTGCACTCCACACACCAGAGACAGCCTCGAAACAGCTGGCTCTGTGGCTCATGTGGGGACTTGGGGTCTCCCTCCCTCCACTCAGAAGGGCAAGAGAGAAACAACGTCCTGTGTGTCTGCATCACCGGACCCCCGGGGGGGGGGGGCGCGTTCCTGTGCTGGAGTGGTGCAGAAGCCCCCCGTCTTATCCAGCATCCACACTGCCCCCTTGTCAACACTGACCTGCCCGCACTGGGGCTCTGGGACCCTCTCTGCGTCCCTGCAGGTCTGAGGGCTCTGAGGCTTCAGGGTTTGAATGAGGGTCCAGGGACCCTACCTCCCTGGGGTCCTGCCTCCCTGGGTGACCAGGAACCCCCTCCACCCCATGTGGTCTTGGCCCTGCCCTGGGCTCTGCCCAGGGGTACACAGCCCCACTCTCTCAGGGACCCACCTGCATCTACTCCCCACCCATCTTCCCACAGACCCTCCCTGCCGTCAGGACAGCCAGCATCCTCTCCTTACAGGACTTGGGTGGCTAGAAGGTGTCTTGCAGTCAGCTTCTGCACCTGCCTGGAGAGAAGCCCCAGGGAGACCAGCTCCTTGCTCCTGCAGGCACAGGAGAACTCACAGGGAGGACAAAGAGGCCTTGGGTCAATATCTGAATAATGAGTCCTGCGGCCCGGCCACGGAGGGGCTGGAGGAGCCCGGCGCGCGCTCTTCGCCCCCAGCCTCTGTCTCTCCCTCCAGTTCAAGTGCTGTGGGAGTAACAGCTCCGCTGACTGGCAGCACAGCGCCTACATCCGGTCTCGGGAGGCCGAGGGCCGCCGGGTGCCCGACAGCTGCTGCAAGACGGTGGTGGCGCGCTGTGGCCAACGGGCCCACCCCTCCAACATCTACAAGGTGGAGGTGAGTGCCCAAAGCTCCCTGCCATCCAGGAGCCCCCCCCCACCCCGTGAGAGGCGGGCTCAGGCAGAGGGGCGGGGTGGGGGGGAGCAGGACACACTTACGCACGGGCCATGCGGCAACATGCCCTCAGTGGTCTCCACCGAGCCCTGGGGGATTCTGGGACATCGTGGCAGGCCCCTGGGTCACCCGAGAAGCCTGTGGGCACCCGAAGGGCTGGCCAGGCCCTTTAAGCCTCTGGCCTGCCCTCAGCTGGGTGGACAGCAGCACCCTTCCCTCCCCAGCCTCGCCTGCTTCCGGGCCATCCTGTGGCACTTGCCCTTACCTTACAGGGAGGCTGCATCACCAAGCTGGAGCAGTTCCTGGCTGACCACCTGCTGCTCATGGGGGCGGTGGGCATCGGGGTGGCCTGTCTGCAGGTGAGTCGGAGGGGGCGGGATTAGGACAGGGGCTTGCGTAGAGGAGCTGTGAGCCCCTCTCCCATCGGCGGGGATCGCAAATCACTGACCCTCTGCGCGCCCGTGTGCTGTCCTGCCCTCTCCTCCCCTCCTCTTCGCCCCACCTTCCCTCGGCAGCCAAGGGTGCATCAGTGGTCACTCTCTTCCCCAGAAAAGATGAAGGAAAATGCCTGGGGGCCCGGGGGCCCACTTGAACTTGTAAGAGACCTGGGAGGAGTGTGAGTGTGGGCTCAGGTATGTGAATGCACCCTCTGTGTGTGCACGTGGGTATGTGTGGGGCCACGGGTCGTCCGCATGCATCTAGGTGTACGTGGGGCTGTATGCACGGATATGCGTTCAGGTGTGCTTGTGCATGTGTGTATATGTGTGTGCATGTACATGCACTCATTCCTCTGTGTGTGTGTGTGCGCACACATGTGTGTGTCCGTGGATGTGCGCTCCCCCTTGCACACCCAGCTCTCTGCTCTGAGCGATGCCTTTTGCCGTCTCAGTGCTCCACCTGACCCCCTGCTGTCCCCCAGGACATCAGTGGCGCTCTCACAGTGGCTCCAGTCAAGGGTCGGTAGAGAGGAGTCAGGAGGGGCACCCTGGGGTGGGGCAGACACAGGGGGCAAGGGCCCAGCCGGTGCAAGAGGGAGTTCTGTGCTGCCCCGCCCTCCCACTCCTGCGACCACAAGCACTGACCAGGGGAGGGGTGAGAGCAGTAGCCGGGCCATCAGAAGCCCTGGGGCCACCCCTGCCTCTGCTCCTGCCCCCACCACTGCTTCATCCACAAAACAGGGATCCTGTCCCCAGCCACGTAAGGTCTAGATAAGAACGAGGTGATGAACGTGACCCACTCACGGTGCCGGCACACGTGAAGGCCTCCCCATAAGTGCACGCGGCTATTGTCCAGCTATCTGTAGACTTCAGAGTGGTCTCAGGTACTTTCTGTCCTCAGATCCCCGCCGCAACCCGAGACCCGTGCCAGGCGAGTGTCCGTGTTCTCCCATTTTACAGATCAGAAAGTTGAGACCCAGAGAAAAGACTTCCCGAGGGTGTCACGTCCTGAACTGGCACCCAGGTCTCCTGGCTTTTGGTCTTTTGCTTTGCCCAACTCCCCACCCCACCACCACCAACAGAGCGTTCCATGGAAAGCAAAGCAGGGGCAGTAGCAGCAGTTGGTGTGGAGAACCTGCCCCGGTGGGGTTCCTTCCAGATCACCGCGGCCCGGCCACATCCGCCTGCGCGCCCGCAGGATCTAGCCGCAGCCTCGCCACAGGGCTCTACCCGCTGGAGGGGCGGACCCGGCAACCCAGGGCTGGTTATGCTGTCTCTGGGCCTCAGTTCCTTGTTTGTAAAATGGGGTTAATTATCCCTAGTTTGGTGAGAGGATTAGCAATATATATGTAAATCACTTGGCTCCTTGCTGAGCAGATAGCAGGTGTTCAATAAATGGCACCCATCATCATTGGACTCATTTCCACGTGGGCACGTTGTCTCTGGAAAAAGCCTTCTCAGAACGTTGTTCCCTGGCCAGAGCAGCGTGCGCCCCACCCCCCTCCGCTTGTTCGAAGGCAGGCCAGGAGCCCCCCTGGTGTGTGTGTGGGGGGGCATCCAACGGCCCCTCTCTGCACTTCCCTAGCGTAGGCCTTCTGCCCCACGTACTGAGCCGAGCAGTTGCTGCTGTGGGCTCCAGCTCCTGGATCCACTGAAGTTTCCAGAAACCTACTGTCTGCTTCAGGTGTGAGGGGCCACCTCAGCATGGACACTAAGCAAGCATTGGCCACACTCTCCACCCCTTTCTTCCTGACCTCTCCGGCCTTGGGAGCCTGTGGAAGCTGAGGACAGGGCCAGTGAGGCCCGGCGTAGGGTGTGGGTCCGCCAGTGTCCCAAACCTGAGGTCAAGGTGAAGCAAGGAGGGCGGTAGATGCTGCCCAGGGGGCCACGTTGTCGGGCAGGACGGCGGCAGGCCCCAGACATTTCCTCCTCACGCACACCCCCGTGAAGTCTCTGTCGCCCGCAGCTCGCTGCAGAATTGCTGCTGGTGTCCCTCAGAGGGAGCTTCCCCTGGCCACCGCTGTGGGCCCCCCCCCACCCCCCCCCCACCCCGTTGCCCGGCCTCTCCCCTCCTTCCTGCTCCTGCTGGCCCTGCAGCAGCCAAGCCTCGGTCACAGCTCCCTCTGCTGGCTGATGCTGGAACTAAGCTGCCCAAGTCCGGGTCCGCCACCAGCTGGGAGGAAGGGCTCAGGCCAGGCCTGTGCCCAGGCTCCCAGCCCTCGTCCACCGGAGTGGGCACCAGGCACCTTCCCCACACATGCCCAGCCTGGCCTTTCCAAGACCCCCAAGGCTCAGGAGATAAAAGGCAGTGTCCTGCTTCCCTGGTGCCCAGGACCAGAGGAGACCTTGCTATGAAGTCAGAGGGCCTCCCTCCTTATGTGACCTTGAGGAAGTCACGTTCCCTCTCTGAGCCTCGGGTTCCTTTCCTATAAAATGGAGGAGTTGGACATTTTCGAGCCTTCCGTGCGGAGGCAGACTTCTCTAATCCATGGAAATCTCACCTAGGAGCCGGGCTATTAAACATGGGGACGAGCTGCTCGGGTTGAAGCAGGAGTTGGGGCTCTAAGGTTCCATGATTTTTGGTAAGGACCCTGCCTCGGTGAACCTCATGTGCTGCAATATTCTAGAATGTTAAAGCATGTCTTGTGAATGCTCGGTACACCAAACAGAAAATGTGCCTAACAAACCCCGATTTGTTTGGGGTTTGGCCACATGTCACTTGTGGCCCCGTGTATGTGTGGACCAAGCACTACTATGCTTAGGAGACATGGTGGCTGGCTGGAGGGACACAGGATCTCCACAGCGCCTCCACGACAGCAGGCTTCAACCTTGGCTGCACATGGGGGCCACCGGGCGAGATTTAGAACTGGCCAGGTACCGCCCAATCACATTGTCTGGGGCTTGGCACCCCAGCGCCAACATACCTGTAAAGCTCCCTGGTGGACCCCGCGTGCAGCCAGGCCGAGAACACCGGCCCACGTGAGTGACAGGAGCACGGGGCTCCTGGAAGTCAGATGAGGGAGGTCAGGGGCCACAGAGAATATGGCACCATCACAGTCCTTTAAACACCCGAAGGTAGGCGTGTGGGGGAGCAAGGGGACATTCCCGGGAGGGACTAGAGGACAGACAGGAGCCACAGGCGGAATTTACGAGGAGACAGATGGGAGAATTTAACAACTGGAACTTTCTAGCAGCCGTGCCCGCGGAGCACGAAGCTGCGTGTGGCTGCAGGTTGCAGCAGAGCTTGGGGGCTGGCCCCGCCCCTGCAGCGCGCGTCCTGCCCACGGTAGGCTGCATGTCCCTCCCGCGCTGCTGCTGTGCATTCCGGGCGTGCACCTGTTCCTTTCAGCAAGACCCTGCAGGGCCCCTCTGTCCGCCTCAGGCTTGTGACTCACTACTCAGGATTTTCAGACCCGAAAGGGATAACTGGGGTCTTGAGGTACCTCCAAATCACAGACTCTTCCTTCTGGAAGGTGCTCCCAAGCTAGCTAGGTCAGTGCTGTCAGCCCTGGCTGCACAGGACAGTCAGGCCCAACTGCACAGTATCAGGCCCAGACTGGGGTGAGGCCTGGGCATGGGTGCTCTTTAAAGCCCTCCAGGCGATCCCCGTGTGCACCCGGGGTAGAGAACACTGGGCCCACCCTGTTCGTATACCTCTGAAGACACCCAGCCCCGCGGTGTGGTTACCTGCTAGCGGCCACAGAGCCACCATGGCAGAGCCAGCTAGGACCCCAACTCCAGCTTCCCCTCTTGTGGGCGGACTCTGGAGGCCCTCCAAGCTGAAGTAACTTTGGAAGCTCATTTCTAGCCTACTCGGGCAGGGAAACTTCTGTCCAGAAAGGATGGAGTGGCTCAGCTCCCTTTCCTACTGCCCTGCTCACACGCACTCGAGAAGCCTCCACCCAGAGGCCACGCAGAGGAGGCCGAAGGGAGAGCATCCTCTGTCAGCTTCGTAACGAGAGCTGCTCTGTGCCCAGTGCTGGGGCCACCAGTGGGCAGGGTGTGCCCCCTTCTCCCAGCAGGCTTTCCCTCGAGGGAGGAGACACATGGAACATGGTTGTCGCATGCAGTTAGGGGCACTGGACAAGTGTGAGAATTGGGGCTTGGGGGAGCACAGAGCAGGCCATAACCTGTCGGGCCGTCAGGGAAGGCTTCCTGGGGGAAGTGATAGATAATTAAACCTTGAAGGAGTTTGACAAGAAGAATCAAGATGGGGAAGAGTGACAGGGTGAGGAAATTGGGTTTGCAAAGCCTTGGCTGGCTGCTGTGGGGGGAGGGCTTTATCCTGAGGGCTTGGGAGAGCCACTGCCTGGCCTCTCAAAGGCTCAGGGTGCAGGAGGGGAACCATGAGTTGGTCCTATCATCCTAGTTTAAAAAAAAATCTCTCCAGGCAAGGCTATCAACCAGTGAACAGACTGGAGGTTTTCCTATTGATACAGGGAGCTTTGAGGCTCAGAGAGGGCTATAACTGTGGCCAAGGTCACACAGCCCCACACAGAAGCTACCTTACTCCCACCCCGATGTTTCCAGACTGTAGGATGGAAACATGTTGCAGAGCCCCGAAGATTCACAGGACAGCCACGATTGGGATCTGTAGGTCATTAAAAGGGAAACTGAAAGATCATATTGGATTGGCTTCCTGGGACCTCGCTGGCCCTTCCTTGATGCTCTTAATAACAATCAGGTGTTGGCCCAAAAACCTCAAAAGAAGCTGAAAGCATGCCCCCTCCCTGTTCAAAGGGCCCTGTCGGTGGCAAATGCTGTACCTAGGCAGGCTGGCAGAAGAGGGCGCCGGGCACCATGCAGCCCTGCCCCTCGCGCGCTGGGCCACGCCCCCATTTCCTGCCCCTGCGCTCAGCTGATCGCCTGTTCTCTCTGCTCACCCTGGGCTGGGAGGAGATGCTGGTGCTCGCTCAGGGATCAGATGGCGTCCAGTACTCCTCTCTATGACTCAGGGTGCTTGTGTGCGTGTGCACATGTATGTTGATGAGTGTGCATCCTTGGCCCCTCTGCATGTGTCGGGGCGGGGGGCGGTGTGTGTGGACATGCATTGGTGAGATTCTGGACCATACTCCGTAAATGTGGCCACAAGTCTGTGCTGGGCCAACGCTTCCCATGTGGCCTCCCCCTCAGCAAGAACCAGAAAGATCCAGCTAACCCCGCAGGTTAGCCATCAAACCACAAGGTGAGGACAGGGACGGGGGCGTGCTGCACGACCCCTGGGTGCAAAATGGCCACGATGGCACCTGCTCAAAGCCAGAGGGAGACGAGATAACTCCTCAGGCCGCCTTCAGCTTGTGGCGCCGAGTCCGGATGTGGACTAGCACTGCTCTTAGTGCCGAGTCTGAAAGCTGAAAGCTTCCCGGGGCTCCACCGTCCTCCCACGGGGGGATGGAGAGCAGGGTGGCAGGGGCAGGAAGCAGCGCTCATCCTCCGCCACCTCCTCAAGCTGGCCTTGCAAAGAGAAACCGAGCGGCTGCGAGCACATAGGCGTCCCCATCAGCCTGACCTGCCCCCACCGCTCTGAGCTCCGGGGGCACCCAGCTGTGCTCTGGCAAGATCCGGTCAGCAGCAGCTCTTGGAAAAGTTTGGGAACGATGGGGGCCCTGTTCCCCGTCTTCGGGGAAATCCACCTTTGCCCATGCGCCACGGGACAGTCATGGGGCTGCCCTGGCGGCGCCTCCGTCCTGTGCGCAGGGGGTCGGGCCCCAGTGGCCTTGCTGTCACAGCAAGATCACCCTCGTGGGCCTCCTGGGTGTGCCACGCCCCAGCTTCTTGTCCTGCACTTCAGAGGTCAGCAAAGCGAGGCGCCACAGGGGGCTGGTGATTTTGCAGGACTGCCCTGCTGTGGGCAGGATGCCGTAGCGCCTCCTTGTTCAGCTAGTGGATGTGACGGAGGGGCTGGCAGGCCGGCTCCTGGGGCTGGGGCTGGGGCTGGTGCCACGCTCCACGCTGGCTTACGGGGTGACAGCCTCTGAGAGCTCCGTTTCCCCAGCGGCTTCTGTGCATCCGCCAGAGAATCAACTACGAGCCTTACTTTTGCTCTGGAGTCCCAGAGCAGCAATACACAGAACCTCTCCTAGAGAGAGAGCTTCAGACAGCAGTGAGGGAGTGGGACCACGACCCCTCAGCGTCTAATTAAACCGGGCCGTCTCTGGAGATCTAGGGCCACAGACCCGTAGTGGACTGCTTGTTAGACATGCAGCATCTCGGGCCCCACCCCAGACCTCCTGAGTTGGAACCTGCCCTTTGTCAAGGTCCCCATGTGCGCCCAAGTGTGACCAGCCTGCTCCAGGGCACTCCCGGGACAGCAACTGCCTGGGCTCCTGACCTCTTCGCCCCTCTGCTCTCTCCGCCTGGCAGATCTGCGGGATGGTTCTCACTTGCTGCTTGCACCGGAGGCTCCAGCTGCATTTTTACTAATGGCCAACTGCGTCCCCCTCCGAAGACAGGTGCCCAGATCCCGTCTTCCAGGCCTGCAGAGTCAGCCCCAGCTTGCCTAGAAACTCCCAGAACCTGCCCCTACTCTGTGCCCAGCCCCTTCAGGCCCACCAAGTGCCCGAGACCCTGACTCCTGTGGTTCCCCCCCAGGCCGGGGGCCCTCAGCCCCCTCCCCCCACTTCCAAGTGCTCACTGCCAGGATCCCCGAGCAGGGGACCCACCCACCAGCACCCCTCACCAGCAGTGGGGGGCCCGTGGACTGCAGGAGGGTGAGAATCAGACCCTCTGCTCCCTCCCAACTCCGGAAACTAAAATGAAGGTCTGAAGACTCCAGCCCCTCTGGGACTCCTCCTTGCATTGGGCCCGTGAGCTCCCCACTGGTGCTGAGCACCCCTCCTCTTGTCTCTGCTTGGTGTCCTTTTCTCTCCCCACTGGGAAATACTTAGGGTGGGGCAGTTAGGGTCAGCTCTGCCCCCAGAAGACCCAGTCCTTTGATGTGCCCACCCCCACACCTTCTCAACTGGAAGGGAATGCCCCGATGGCCTGGTTCCTTCCCGCAGGGCCCGGCAGTGGAGAGGTCTGGGGTGAGGACCCCGGAGCTGGGGTTGGGATGGTGGGCTCGTGGCACTGCCAGGGAGGGAACCAAGGCAGGTAAGGTGGCCACCACACCACGTGCTGCCCCAGGACCCTGTGCACTGCCCAGAAGCCATCCCTGGGAGAGGTCCCTCAGGAGACCATGGCCTTGAGCCCCAGTCCACAGTTAATATGCCCCTTAGGGATCTCCTCTCTATGGCCTGATTCTCAGGAATGCCAGGTTTTTAAAATGATCTCCAGCTCTTAATGTTGGTGGGAGTGAAAACCCCTTCCTGATTAGGCCAAATCACAGACCCCGGAAGGTTGGAGCCACGGAGAAGGTGCAGCTCTGAGTAGAGGGGTGCTCTGCCCTGAACCCCGTTTTTCCTGGGCCCACAGCCCCTGACCACATGGCCACCACCGAGCCGCCTCCAGGAGCCCTCGCTCCGCTTCGCAGAGTGAATACAGTCCCTTTCTTTGATTCTCCCTTGCTTCTCTGAATCAGGCAGGGGATTTTTCAGGAAGAACTTTCTCAAATACTAAGGGAGAACGGAAAAGAAAGAAAACCCTGGAAAATGCAGAGTACAGACACTGGCGGTTTTCCAAAGAACAGGTGTTAACCTGGAAGTCAGCCACAGGGAACCCCGCCCCGCCCGTAGCTGTTCCAAGTGGGTAGCCCAGAGCCAGAGAAGCCCGCACCCGGCTCCTGTACCTTCCAGGTCCCGTGCTGCCCGTGCTGGAGACCCTCTTACACCCCACCATGAGAGGGTGGCCCCTTGTGGCTAAAATCAAGGCCAAGAAAGGTCACACCTTGCCTCCCAGCTCATTCCAGGCCCCAGTGTGATGAGCGCAGCTCTTGGTAACCTGCGTCAGTCCTGGGTGAAGGGTGTTCTCTCCCACACACAGGTCACTGCTGCCCCCAAACAGCCCCCAACTGGACAGACCCTGTGCCCCCTCAGAACACAGATTACGCCCACGCACAGAGGGAAGACCAGCTGCCCAGGGCAGGTGGCCTCCCTGACCTGGGGTGTCCTCCAGGGGCTACCAGAACCCTGGCTGGCTTATCTGCTCTGCCCTCAGGGCCCTGGGGTTGCTGATGCAGACTCATTAACAGGGAGACCAGCTTTCCAGCAATCCCGGACTGCACCAAGGCCGGAAGAAACGGTACTGGGACTATCTTTGGTGCCCTCCAACTTCCTGGGACTCGTGCAGACAATCGAGAAATGATGGACCCCCCAAGCTCTCTGCAGGGCTAGGCGGAAGACTGCTGGGTCTTACCAAGGGAGGGCTGAAAGAGAGCCGTGTTCTTCCTTGGGGGGGCCCGCGGGAGGCGGTGATGCCCGGGGAGGGGCTGGGTCCTGTGGTACCTGCCACCCCCTGTTGGAGTCACCGCACTCTTGACTGAGGTCAGCGGGGCTTGTGGAGGTGGGACATGGTAACAGGCGGGGATCCCTTGCCCCGGCCCCCGCGTGGGGTTAGGCCACCCGGGCAGAGGGCGGGATTAGCTGTGATTCTACCCTGGGCACCGTCCCACCCCGACGGCCGCTGGAGGATGGATGGTCCGAGCTGCAGAGACAGAAGGGCCCAGAGCTTTAGGCAACGCTGATCTGCTTGTTCGTGCCCACAGCCCGGGAGGGGAGGCAGGGTTAGAGGGAACGGAGGCCCAGGATACAGCGGGCTCCGGCTCGGGACACGCAGAGGGCGGGAGTCTGGAGCCCAGGAGGTGCCCGCCCGGCCTGAGAGGATGCAGATCTGCGCCCAGGGCGCTGCGTGGAGGCGGTGGTGCTTGCGCGTTCCTCGGGGAGAGAGAAGGGCACGCAGGACTGTTGCACGCCGCCCGCAGCAGGTGTGTGAGCACACCGGGACCCAGAAAAGAAGCCAGCATCCTGTCGAGGTCGGGCCACGGCACCTGCTGGAATCCACACGGCCTGAGTCACCCATCCTCGCCCTTCCCTCCACCCGCGCGCTGGGGCAGCCACCCTGAGAGGGATGGCCTGTCCCCACTCGGGATGACCCGTTTTGTTCATTTCACTCATTCCTTTTCCTGGGGAGGCAGGAATGAAACCCGGCCTTTGGTGAGGGGATGAGACTTGCTTAAAATGTTCGTGACCTCTCCTTTCTTTTCCCTACCCCTCCCGACAGCCTTGCCCCAACTCCAGGGGCCACTCTGGCCTCGCCCCGGGGGAGCATCCAGGGCCTGGTGGTTACTGAGGGCCTACTGTGTGCTCAGAATGTGTTAGTCCCCTAAGTGCTTTCTCTCATAGCGATCGCTGCAAGAAGGTACTATTGTCCCACTCCACAGGCGACGACATTAAGGCTCAGAGCTGTTAAGAGATTGGCCGGTCAGTGGCCGTGGCTGCCGTCCTGCACCCCGGCCGGGTGGAAGCAAGGGGAGCTGAGAGCCCCCGCTGCTCGGGGTCCTCCGGCTCTCCCATCTGCGCAGTAAGCCATCAGGCTGACGTTCAGGAACAGCGTGGCCCTCGGGGGGCACTGTCCAATAGCAGCGCCTGGCCCCCCTTCCAGGGGCGGCCGGAACCATCCATCAGCCGCTGCGCCTGCGCGCCCTGCGCATCTGCACTCAGCAGAGCGGCCTGGCTTCTTTCCCCCTGACAGCCAGGCAGTGCGGTGGCTCAGGCTGCAGGCGCGGGCCCTGAGGACCACCGCTCAGGGCAGGGGCCAGCCCGTCACCTCGGGTGCCAGTGCTGACACCGAGTGAGAGCAGACCAGACCTCAGCAATGGGAACCCGCACACAGCGTGCGGAATCTCACGCCCAGGCGGTGATCACATCTGGGGGCATGCAGGGCTGGCGAGGGCATGGGGAACCCCTCTCCCTGCCCCATGTGGGGCCCGGGGGAAAAGTCTCAGGTCACAAGCACTCAGAGCCACCCTGGGTGGGGAGGAGGCTCCCTGTGGCGGGGCAGGGGGGCATGTTAACCACCTCCAGCTACCATTCCCTCCCCTGTATTGCTGATGCAGGACTCCGGGGACGGGGTGTGGCCACAGCATGGTCTCTGTCTCACAGAGCTGACTGCCTGGAATCTCATCAGGCCTCTCAGCCCGTGCACGGCCACAGGCACTTAGGTCCAGAAGGGCCAGCGCCGCACTTGGGAGGGGGTGCCCTCAGGATCCTTGTGCCCTGCAGCCAGTTAGGGTCTTAGAATTGGCCACTCTGGCCCGTCCCAGGGTTTGGGGATAGAAGAAATGAACTGAAACACTTTCATTACCACCCACCCCACTTTCCGCCTTACAAATACTCTCCACTTTTGGCCAGTTGGGGCCTGGGGAGAGAGGGGGAGGAGCAGGGGAAGGCGGTTGACTAGCTAAGGAGAAAACGCATCTTCTGTGTCACTGCTCACATCGGCGAGGATGCTATGATGTGGCCGAACCAGAAGTTGTCAAACTTGACGATGCATCAGGTCGCCTGGAGGGTCACCCCCAGAGGGTCACCCCCAGATGGTCACCTCTGCAGGGGCGGGGTGGAGGACTTGCATTTCTAACAAGTCCCCAGGTGATGGTGCTGCTGGTCCTGGACCCACCCTTTTAGAGCCGCTGCTTCAGACCACCCCACCAAGGACGCTGGGCCACCTTCCTTTGTATGCGCGTCAACCCTCAGCATCCGTGAGGATGTCTGGCTGGAGCCCAGCCCATTCACCGCTCAAGGACGGGCCAGGGACGCGCCTCTCCTGCCGTGCCTTCTTGCAGCACCTGCTCTGCCCTCTGCGTGGGTCTGTGACCGTGGCTGGGAGGCCAGGTGCCTGGGTCCTCTCCCTGGAAGGGAACAGATTAGCTTGTGCCTTGGGAGAGTCCAGCTCCATTCTCGTCGCCCCACTTTCTAGTTTAGCACGATGGCCCCGCCCCGCCTGTACTCCATCCCCCAGCCTCCCACGTGCCCCCTTCCTCTCTTGCTTCTGCCCCCAAGACCCCCCGTGCAAGTGCCACTAGCAATTCCAGGCAGCCCAGTATTAGGCCAGATGGGCTTCTGGAACCAGCTGGCCCGTGGATATGGGTCGTCACAATATTCTAGAAACTGAGAAGTTACCTTACCTACTGCATATAGAGAAGTTGCTGTGTAGTTGGGAACATGTCCCTCTCCTCAGCTGGCCTCAGTGTAAGCCTGGCCTCACCTGCTGGGTGGCATGATAATAAAGGAGTTGTATCTAGGACTACCTTCTGTTGCTTTTTTCCTCCTCTGCAGGGAAATCTCAGACCATCAGTTCATCAGATGTCTTTCAACCTACTGTACGTGCTAGAGCTGACATTAGTCATGGGGAGAAGGAGAGGAAGGGGGAGTCCTATTAGGAAACCCACTGACCACACTGATCGGGGTCCTGTCTACCCTTTTTTTTTGGTCTGCTCCCACGTATTCTTTGAACGGACCTTGCCTTGCCCACACATGTGGCTACATGTGGCTACAAGCGAGAGCCAGGCTCAGACAAGTGGGCTCGGACTGCATTCCCCTGAAAGCTCTCTGCCTATGGTCAGCCAGCGTCCCCGCACCATTCACCACGACGCACGGCTCAGTTTGCACGTCCTACTGCAGGTCACCCCGTGCTGACTGCAGCAGAGGCTGCATGTGGTGAGGGGTCAGGGGCGAGGGGCCCCCTCTGGCTGACCCTCAGGCTCCCAGCTGAGCATCGGAAGCCAAGACACACACTGCTACCATTACCCAGACCCCCAGCCCATCTCACTCCAGAGTGACAGTGTTTCTTCACCTGGACCAGCTAATTTGCCCCCATCCCCAAATGCAGAGTGGGACACTCTTTCCTCCGAAAGCAAAAAGACTTCAATCTTATGATTCAGAGGAGTGGAAGGTATCAGGTTGCCCAGTGTGGAGCCACCAAGAAGTAAATGCTTTCATGACACAAACCATTCATCCGATCTCCTCCACTCTTCTGCCTAGAAAACTTGGCGGGGCGGGCGAGTGGGCGAGCCTGAACAGTACCTGGGAAAGCTAGCCTCTGGGGGTCCCAAGATGGCGAGACTGGGGTGAGGGGGCTGGGGAAGCAGATGGGAAGTGAGCCTCTCACCTGGGAAGAAGCTGGAAGGGGCCTGCTCACTTCACGTGTAAGCAGATTTAGTCTGCAGGCCTGGCCAGCTCTCATGGGTCTCCCCGGCCCCCTTGGTCAAGTTCATTCCCTCTGATGGCTTGCATATTAGACAGGGACTGGACCCCATCCAGGGCCCGCCCGAGGTCCCTATGTTGTTGGACCCGGACACATGGTCTCCTCCAGCATCACTGTGAGTGTGCATGCGTGTGCACATGCACAGAAGCCCACGAGCGTGCCGGGGAGGGAAGAGCATCCCTCTGGGCCCCTGCCTCCTGCACACAGGAGCGCGGTGAGGTGAGCATCACTGCTGTCTAGAAAGGCTCTGGTGGCCGAGAGGGGCCTCGGGTAGGTGGGCAGCAGCGAGAAGCTCTGTGAAGCTGTCCTCGGTGGCCGCCAGCTGGCCCTGTCCTGTCTGTGGCCACTGCTTCCCAGCAGGTGCCATGCCTCATGTCAGCCCCAGTGCCAGGCTGTCATGTCGCCACAAGGTGGGCTCACTTTGAGCTGGGACCCTGGTTCCTACTCCCTCTCCCCAACTGAGAATAGAGAGACTGTCAGTGGGGGTGGGGGAGACACAGGGTCCAAAAGCCTAGATCATTCCACTACCTTCTTCTTCTTCTTTTTTAAAGATTTTATTTATTTATTTGACAGAGAGACACACA